CTGCCTCAGCCTCAGCCTGCATCAGCCTCAGCCTCAGCCTCAGCCTGCCTCAGCATCAGCCTGCCTCAGCCTCAGCCTCAGCCTGCCTCAGCCTCAGCCTCAGCCTGCTTCAGCCTCAGCCTCAGTCTGCCTTCAGCCTCGGCCTCAGCCTCAGCCTGCCTCAGCCTCAGCCTGCATCAGCCTCAGCCTCAGCCTGCATCAGCATTCAAAATGTGGCCCGGGAATGGAGTTCTGGGAACTCGAAGACCACGAAGTGGCCTACACTTGGCTCCAGGCATTCAAAATGTGGCCCGGGAATGGAGTTTTGGGAACTCGAAGACCACGAAGTGGCCTACAGTTGGCTCCGGGCATTCAAAATCATGCCCAGGAATGGAGTTCTGGGAACTCGAAGACCACGAAGTGGCCCACAGTTGGCTCCGGGCATTCAAAATCATGCCCAGGAATGGAGTTCTGGGAACTCGAAGACCACGAAGTGGCCTACAGTATTTAAAATCATGCCCAGGAGTGGAGTCCTGGGAACTCGAAGACCACGAAGTGCGTTGTCCCCGGATTCCCGTCCGGATTCCCGTCCGGATCCCGCCCAGACCCCCCTGGGAGTCATGATGCTGTCTTTTGAAAGGAATATGTCGATTTGTTATTGAACAAATTCCATATTACAATGGATGCCTCCCGTCCTTTTTTCACTCACGCCAAACGCGGGACAACCAGATCGTGAAGTGGGCGCGCCGGGGCATGCCACTTTACGGGAAGTGCGTTCTGTGTATGATTTTACACGCGAGCCCCGCACACGCCCGATCGTTAAGTGGGATTGCTGGGCCACCTAAACTGCACCCCGTGTGTGAATTTACATGATGCAACCCGCCCCCCGCCGGATCGTCAACGCGGTTCGTTGGACATCGCCTCACAGGTCCCAGTGGTCTCGTTAGTCCCACGCGTCCCCAGGCCTCGCAGGTCGCGCAAATCTTACAGGCCCCACGAGTCTCGCAGCGCAGGTCGCACAGGGCGCACAGGTCCCGCAAAACCCGCCGATCCCGCATGTCGCCCAGGTCCCGCATGTTTCGCAGGTCCCACAAGTCGCACATGTCCCACAGGGGCACAAGTCTCACACGTCCCACAGGACCCGCAGGGCGGCACGCTAAAAGACAAGAGGGAATCGCGCGGAAACCCAAGACTTAGGCAGAGTTACTGGACGTCGAACCTGTTTGGGCGTGCTCCAATCGTTTTGGCGGCAATTGCCTTATGGCGTCGGCAACCTCTGCCGCTCGGGCAGATGGAATGGGAAGCGCACGGTCCCTGATACATGCAATGGTACCCGGACGGCTGCTGCGGTCTGTCGCAGCTTCCCTGGGAGGCGAGGGGGGGAACGCGAGGGCAAAAAACATGAAAATGCGAAGGAGGAGGAGGATTAGATGGAAGAGGCGAGTGAGGACGCTGATGATGCTTCGGCGGAGGAGCGAGAACTAAGCAGTGGCCGGCGATGCGGCGAGAACGCATGTCGTCTTCGTCGTGGTCGTCGTGGTCGCCGTGGTCGCCGTCGTCGTCGTGGTCGTCGTCGTCGTCGTCCCCGTCGTTGTCGTGGTCGTCATCGTCGTCGTTGTCGACGTCGCCGTGGTCGTCGTCGTCGTCGCCCGCCGTTCCTGGCAATGACGGCTGCGTTCTGGGCCTGGGGCCCAGGACCTGCGCGTCGTTGTCGGAGGGAACTTCCTATTGGGGGGGGCGGGCTCACTGTAAAAATCCGTCGTCGCCGTCGTCGTGGTCGTCATCGTCGTCGTCGTCGACGTCGCCGTGGTCGCCGTCGTCGTCGCCCGCCGTTCCTGGCAATGACGGCTACGATCTGGGCCTGGGGCCCAGGGCCCGCGCGTCGTTGTCGGATGCAGCACCCTGTTGGGCGGGAGCCGGCTCACTGTGAAGATCCGCTCATGGCGGCAGATTTTCGATGTCTGGCGAAGCGACTTAACGATTGGACGCGGGCGGGCTCAGGTTCATGGTGTGGGTTCATCTACGGGACGCATGTAACTTTGCCCAGGAGCCCCACTTAACGATCGTGGGGCGGGAGGTGTAGTGTGTAAAAGCACACGCGGGGCGCACTTCGCGTAAAGTGGCGTGACCCGGCGTACCCACTTTACGGTATGTTCCCCCCCACCCCCCCGCGTTTCGCGCGTGAGGAATAAGACGGGGAACATCAATCGTAAAGTGGAACTTCTTTCTTACCAAAATATATTCTTTGATAGAAGCAATGAAAAATATTGAAAAGCATTTCCCACTTCACGATGGATGCTTCCCGTCTTTGCTTTCGCACGCCAAACACGGAACAACAAAAACAAATCGTAAAGTGGGCGCGCTGGGGCATGCCACTTTACGTGAAATGCGTTCTGTGTCTGTTTTTTCACACGAAATTCGCACCCTCCCGATCGTTGAGTGGGACTGCTGGGCAACCTAAACTGCATCCCGCGTGTGAATTTACATGATGCAACCCGCCCCCCGCCGGATCGTCAACGCGGTTCTTTGGACAACGCTTCGCAGGTCCCATTGGTCTCGTCAGTCCCGCGCGTCCCAGGCTTCGCAGGTCGCGCAAATCTTACAGGCCCCACACTCGCAGGTCCCACGGGTGTCGCAGGTCCCACAGGTCCCACAGGTGCCGCAGGTCGCACAGGTCCCGCAAGTCCTACATGTCCCGCAAGGCCCGCAGGTTTCTCGCAGGTCCTAGCAAGTCCGATATTTTGCACAGGTCCCACAGGTCTCATAGGCCCCACAGCTTCCACAAGTCTCGCAGTTCGCACAGGTCGCGCAGGCCCCGCAAAACCCGCCGATCCCGCAAGTCGCCCAGGTCCCGCAGGTTTCGCAGTTCCCACAAGTCGCACAAGTCCCACAGGGGCACAAGTCTCACACGTCTCACAGGACCCACATGGCGGCACGCTAAAAAAACGAGAGGGAATCGCGCGGAAACCCAATACTTAGGCAGACTTACCCATCCCAGTGAACAAAGTTTATAGCAAAAGTGACGCGGGGATGGGAACCGAGAAGATATTGGATCAGACCAGGCGGGGCCCGTCGCATCAAGTGACATCCGCTGTCAATGTTATGGAAAAAACGTATCGTCTGCGTTGCGCATTGCACGTTCGCCATCCGACTGGCGGGAAAGAAACCGCAAGGCAGAACGTGGAACTGCCCACGCGAGCGGCCAGGTGAAGGATCAACTTGGAAGAGCACCCAGGAATTCAGTGGCGTCCGCTTCCAAATGTTGTCATTGGGCGGCCCTGGGCGCGCAAGCCAAAGTGTGGCATATCAATGTCCTGGCCCATGGCGCGCGTCAGCGCACGCTGCCAACATTGAAAGGCGAATATCACGTGATGTTCCTCCTTGGGCGTTGCCGTCTGCAGATCATTCACGATGATCGTCTTGTTGATTTTGTTATACTTTGTCTTCCGACTGTGTATTTGTATAGGGTTTCACAGACGGCTCCATGTTGGGTCGAAGAGGAAGTCAACAAAGCTCAAAGAGGGCCCTGGGATTCCGCAGGTGCCTTCGGGGAGCGCGTGGCATGTTTTGCAGTGCGCTTCGTCGAACGATATCTTTAACAGTTTCCTGTGAGTGGTGCATTACTCCGATGCGCCGCCTTCTTCCTCCCCGTCCTTCTTCCCTACGGATCCCTCTGCCCCCAGCTTCCTCTCACTCCTGGACTGGTTTGTTTACTTTTGTTTGTCGGGCCACCTTTGGTGTCCCAGGGCCTTCCGCCGACTGGACCTTCTGGACACTTGGGTCGCGACCGTTTCCTTGCTATTTTGGCTACGGGCTGGAGCTATATGTATTGGAGGATGACGATTAATACATGACCGGGGGTCGTGCTCACTCGGCGGCGCCCGGGATGACGATTAGAAAAAACGGGCCGCGGGCTGGAACAATTTATTTGTTTAATCGTTCTCCTCCAGTCAGAAAATTGCAGAAATAGCAGACAACTATTTTTTTATTCGTTCTCTCCCATTTTTTTGAATCGTCATCCCGCATTACATTCCCCCCCGTTTGTCTCCTCACCGAGAAGCTTTCGTGGACTGCCGATCCGACCCGATCCAGTTTCCTCATGCTCCCTCCCTCCCTCCACCCTGCTCGGCCTTGTCTCTGCCTACTATCTCCTGCTGCCGCTCATCCTCCTCTTGCTGGGGGATTCCCATATGAACGTACGACAGCTCCAAAATGGCCGCCCCAAGATGAGCTTAATGCGGCTCCACGTGGCTCCACGAAGGCGACATGATAGCCCCACGAAGGAGGAACATGAGGTTACTATGGAACTGACTGATGAGTGTGGTGGTGATCATGATGATTGCACGCTCTCTCCCCTGTTTTTGCTCCCCTCCTTTATTCTTCCTCCTCACCCATCTTCCTTTATCGCTATTCCCTCCCCGTCGGCCATTGCACCGATCTGGGAGGGACGGAGCAGAAGGGGGAAAGGGAAGGGTGGATGGAGGTGGGTGGGAGGGAGGAGGAAAGGAGGAAGGCCTGGAGGGAGGAGTGAGAATGGAGGGGGAGGAGGAGGAGGAGGAGGAGGAGGAGGAGGAGGAGGAGGAGGAGGATAACTATAATAATAATCATGGGAAGAAGAATAATACTGATTATAAAAAGGAGAAGGAGGAGAGAGGGTGAGGATGAGGATGAGGATGAGGATGATGATGATGAGGAGGAGGAGGAGGAGAAGGAGGAGAAGGACGACAAGGACGACGACGCGGACGACGACGAAGACGACGACGACGACGACGACGACGACGACGACGACGACGACGACGACGACGACGACGACGACGACGACGACGACGACGGGACCGACCATAAGAGAGGCAATGGACAGGTACGGCCCCAAGAGGGTTCCGCGAGGGCCTTCCGTGGGCCTGAGGCCCAAGAGGGCTTCAAACGGGCCCACGAGGGACCCAAGATGGCTCCCCAACGGCACTGCTTTCCTCCCGGTTCTCCTCTCTCTCCCTCGTTATTGATTCAACGCGGCCTGCCGGATGCTGTCTTCTCGCGACGTACTCGCAATCCGCGCAGGTCCAGTTGAGACCCAGGATTTTGCGTATTACACCAATGAGTCTCCATCTATTTTCACAGCTTTGCTCCAGCATCTGCTTTTCGACAAGCTTCTGCTTCTTCAGAAGTTTACGAACAGCCCGTACCCGTGCACTCTGCAGACTGCTTCAGCTCCGCTGTCGCTCGTCTATGTTTCTCCTGGGCGCGCAGTGGCCGCCGGCGGCCATCATTGGCGAGGGGCTGGGCCGCAAAGCGGGGGGGGGGGAGAGTGGAAACAGGGCTCCAAAGCGACCCAGAGAGACAGACAGGGGAGCTGTGGTCGTTACCCCCCGCAGGGACGGACCCATTGGCTTTGACACTCCTATCGAGAGATCGGGGAGCAAGGAACACATCTCCCCTTGTTGTGGCTGGTCGGAGAGTGTCCCGGGCTCCTGCGGCATACCCAAGACGCTTCCACTGTAGCCAACACAACCCCCAAATGAACTTGATGTGCACCCAGTGGTCGCATCCATGTCTTTTGCTTCTGTCTATCTTGTTCCCGTGGTGGCTGCCCCTTTCTGCCTCCCTCCGTCCCCCACGCTTCCCGAGTGATAGAATTTCGGGCCTCTAGCATGCTTCACCTCGCACCCGTCGCGAAATTTATTTCTGCCCGTGGCGACGCTGTGTCGAGCCCTGTTCGCTCGCCCGTCCCAGTCTGCCGCGCGTCCCTAAAGGGGATGCGAGGGCCCCTTCCCCCCCCCCCCAGGGGAGACGCGCTTGCCGAGAGGTCTTGCAGTACGTGCTTGGTGGAGTGCGCTTCTTGGCCGCACCGCTCGGGAAACGCCACCTTCCACGACGGTCGTGCTAGATGTTCGGGTCGGACGCACCCCTCTGAGGAGGACGCCTACTGGTATTTCCTTGAGTGAAGTCGGGCCTGTCCCCCTACAGGGGGATTCTCGACGAAAAAATATGAAATACCCCAAAAACAAGAATAATAACAAAATATCCCAGTGCGTCCCTACCTAGGAGTTGGAGCCTCTAGGAACGCAACATTAGTAGGAGGGGTAAAGCCGTCCTCCTCCTTTTCCTCATCGCCGTAGTTGTAGCAGTAGCGGTAGTAGTAGTAGTAGTAGTAGTAGTAGTAGTAGTAGTAGTAGTAGTAGTAGTAGTAGTAGTAGTAGTAGTAGTAGTAGTAGTAGTAGTAGTAGTAGTAGTAGTAGTAGTAGTAGTAGTAGTAGTAGTAGTAGTAGTAGTAGTAGTAGTAGTAGTAGTAGTAGTAGTAGTAGTAGTAGTAGTAGTAGTAGTAGTAGTAGTAGTAGTAGTAGTAGTAGTAGTAGTAGTAGTAGTAGTAGTAGTAGTAGTAGTAGTAGTAGTAGTAGTAGTAGTAGTAGTAGTAGTAGTAGTAGTAGTAGTAGTAGTAGTAGTAGTAGTAGTAGTAGTAGTAGTAGTAGTAGTAGTAGTAGTAGTAGTAGTAGTAGTAGTAGTAGTAGTAGTAGTAGTAGTAGTAGTAGTAGTAGTAGTAGTAGTAGTAGTAGTAGTAGTAGTAGTAGTAGTAGTAGTAGTAGTAGTAGTAGTAGTAGTAGGAGTAGTAGTAGGAGTAGGAGTAGGAGTAGGAGTAGGAGTAGTAGTAGTAGTAGTAGTAGTAGTAGTAGTAGTAGTAGTAGTAGTAGTAGTAGTAGTAGTAGTAGTAGTAGTAGTAGTAGTAGTAGTAGTAGTAGGAGTAATAATAGTAGTAGTAGTAGTAGTAGTAGTAGTAGTAGTAGTAGTAGTAGTAGTAGTAGCGCCAGAACCGCCGACGCCACGCCGTCAGTGAAGCAGCAGCAGAAGCAGACAGCAAGTCGCCGAGACAGCAGCAAAAGCAAGCAGGCATGGAGATGAGGGCGGGACACTGGGGAGTTCTTTACATCTACATCTGTCTATACACCTACATCTACATCGACACCTACATCTACATATATACCTACATCTACACCTACAGCTACATCTACATTTACACCTGCATATACATCTACATCTACATCAACGGCGAGACTCACATCTACATCTACATCTACATCTACATATACATCTACATCTACATCTACATCTACATCTACATCTACATCTACATCCACATGTACACCTGCACCTACATCTACGTCTACATCTACACTTTCGCATTGGTTTTGCTTTTGCTTTGCATTGCCTTTGCTTTTGCTCTTGCCTTTGCTTTTGCCTTTGCCTTTGCTTTTGCTGTTGCTGTTGCTTTTGCTCTAGTGTTTGCTTTTGCTTGGTTCTGCGTTTGCTTTGCCTGCGCACAGACAATAGTGGATGATGCAGCAGCAATAGTGGATGCTGTGCTGCGCTATGCTATGCTATGATATGCAATGCTATGATATGCTGCGCAATGCTGGACTAGGCTAGGCTAGGCTAGGCTAGGCTAGGCTAGGCTAGGCTAGGCTATGCTATGTTATGCTGCGCTATGCTATGCTGCGCTATGCTGTGCTATGCTATGCTATGCTATGCTATGCTTTTGCTTTGCCTTCGCTTTTGCCTTCACTGTTGCCTTTGGTTTTGCTTTTGCTTGGCACCCAGGGAGCGCAACTGGGGGAACCGCGCGTTTGCTTTTACCTTTGCTGTTGCTTTTGCTTGGCTCCCAGGGGACTGGGGGAACCGCCTGGGACGGTTTCCACTGCCCGGCCCCTTTACGCTACAGAGTAAGAGCCCTTCTAGGCAGAGCCTAGGTAGGGAATAATCCAAAAATAGCCTGGGGACTCATTTTTGAATCTTTGTTTTGCCTTTGTGGGGCATTTTTGTAGTATTTTTTTCATTTTTCGTCTAGAGCCCCTCTGTAGGGGGACACGCCCGACTTACTCCTTGTGCGTTCCATTGGAATGATGACTAGGGGGGGGGTGGATATCACGGCGTGGGCCATGATATTTCCCCAGATCTCATGGCGCCTCTTCTTATCCCATTGCGTCCCTGGCCCCCCCGCTGGGCCGCGCGCACGCCGCCAGTCATGATTTGCACCCCCCCCCCCTCTTGGACACCCCCCTCTTGGCCGCTCCCGAGTAGGGCTGGGGGGTCAGGTCTGCAGAGCACCCCAAGCGGAAGTCAAGGGGGGCAACCAACCCGTTCGGTCAAACTGAACTTGATGCACCACACCCGGCGCCGAGCCAAAACTTTGTCCATACGCGAAGGGTTGTACTCTGCTGAACCGGCGAGGCGTTTGACCACCTTGACGTCCCTTTTTTGGTGGCCCTGCAAAGGAAGGCGCTCTCTGACCCTCGGCCCTACTCAAGTGAAGCCGCAGTGCTGGAACCCATCCGTGGTTTCGGCATGGGCTGCGGAAGCGCCCTTGCTCAATAAAAAATCGGGGGCGCAGGATCGACACGCCGCTCAGGGTTTTGCACGTATAGGTAAAGGAATGGGGGGGAGGGGGAGGAGGAGGGGAGATTGCGGCGGTTGGGGGGGGGGCTTGCGCTGTGCTCAGGCCTTGTTCTCAAACGAGCTGCGGACGCATCAAGGATCAAAGCGTGAAGATCGCTCCAGCTCCAGCTTTCGACCTTCAGCGCCCCCCAGCGGCAGTCGACCTCAAAGCCTCCCTCGTCCAGCTTCCAGCCTCCACCTTGCGACCTCCAGCTCCGACCCTCCGACATGGACCTTCCTACTCCCATCTTCCAGTTTTCGACCTCCTGCTTCCAGTGTGCAGTACGACATGCAAACTGGCGGATGAGTGCGACCAAAATTCTCGGACACCGACGCTGGATTACGGACATTCCCCCTTTGTCCTCCCTCCCCGAACCTCTCCACTCCTGCTTCGACTATTCCGATTTACAGGCCCCGCCCTTGGCGGTCTAGTCTCAGTGCTTTTTCATGAGACTCCTTCGCAAGTTGGCTCGGGTAAGCTGCACATCCTGTCAGACATATGTTGGGGGGCCACGACGGCTCACCTTCGGCCTCGTAGTGCTGGAGATGGTGCGATCGTCCTCGTGCTCATCGTTGCGATTGTGAGCTCGTGCCTGATGGATGGCCCTGTGTTCTATCGGGCTCCTGCCATGCCGTCTGCCCCCTTGCTCAAGCTTCTGTCTCGGGGAATCCCCGCGCACAGCGGTTGATACACTTTTTTGCAGGCGTAAGGGCCTGAGGGCCTTTGTTGGGCCCCGGGGCCGTAGCCAAAATGATCCAGGATGTAAAGCCAGTGCCGGGGGAGGGGTCGAGACCTCCTGGGCTCCAGGCTGCGGAGAAGTCACCGCGTCGGGGGTCCATGTCGGAACGTGCTCTCCAGCCTCTTGGGTGTGTCGCAGGGCAGGCGGCGGAGGGTAGGCTGGTTGGACGGCGAGCCGTGCTGGGCTGCTTGGGCTGCTTGGCGGGGGGCGGCTGCGGCTGGTCGAGCTGGTTGGCGGGTCAGCGGGCGGATGGGTCGGGCTCGGTGGAGTTGGCAGGCGGGCTGGCTCGAGCCCAGGCCAGAGAGCAGCCGGCGTCGACGGCGCCTCGGGGCTCCCTTTGGTCTGCCCCGCTGCTGCCTGGGCTCCGGGGGCCTGCGCCCAGGAGAGCGGTGCAGATGCGTCCCTGGCCGAGCCAGGAGGTCGTGTGCACCGCGCCTGGGCCCGGGCAGAGCCAGGCCTGGGGCAGCGGATGAGCTCTCGTCGTCCTACCTCGTCCCTCGGCGGTGGCGGAGGGCAGGCGGAGGGGGTATGCGGGTTGGCGGATTGGCTGGTTGGGCCTGGGCCGGTAGGCCATTTGGGTGGCTGTCAGCACATGGCTTCGATCAAGGACACCGAGGACTGACGGGCACCGCACCATGTGTTAGGAGAGTGTTGTGTAAGGCTTGGGCAGTATCGCGCGGTATGGTACCCCCCCATACCGTACCCCTTCCCCCCGGCCCCCCGCGCAGTGGTGGAGCTCACGTGCACATTGTGGTGCTGGCGGGATTCTTTGGTCCTCGCAGGCTATGTGTGCTCGCCGGCATGGTGTGGTGCTCACAGGCACTGTGTTGTGTTCTCCACCCTGCGACGGTGCGTATCGTGATGTTCGTGGGCACAGCGTCATGCTCACATGCATGATGTGGCGCTCGCAGGCTGTCAGGGTTCCCGCAGCCACGTCGTTTTTGCTCGCAGGTATGTTGCTATGGTGCTCGCAGTCTTGTCTTGTGGTCGCAGGCAGATTTTGATACTGGCTGGATCTGGCATGCTCTTGTACTGGTGCTGCTCGCAGGCGATCGCCGTGGTGACAGGGTGAGGCTTCCCTCGCCTCGCAAGCACACGGTGGTTTTCACCGGCATGCCATGGTGTTCTTAGGTTGATGGGGTAGTCGCAAGCCGTATCTTGTGCTCGTATCCGTACTGTTGTGCTCGGAGGCCGTGGTGCCGGACGGCCTCAGCATAGCGTTGCGGATGCTTTTGGCGATGGTTTGGCTCTCGCAGGCGCACGTGATGCTCGCAGGTTGTGGCGCTTGCGGTACTGGCAGGGTCCAGATCCTGTAGTGGATTTGGTCGCGGTCGCAAGCTGTTGTGGGCCTGGTAGGGTCCGGTGTTCCTCGCCGTCTGGTCGTTGCAAGCACAGGGCGTGCTCTCAGGGGCGTGCAGGCGTATTCTTGTGCCATCGCAGGCACATTGTGATGCTTGCAGGGTCTTCGCGCATTGCAGGTCTATTCTGGCGCCTGCCGGTTTTTTGCTCGATTTGGCAATAGCCAGGTTTCCCTTGCCGTGCGGCGGTCGCCATGCACACTGCGCTCACAGGCAAATCGTGGCTCTGGCAGGCGTGCCGCGCCGGTCGCAGGCTGCTGTGGTACGGACAGGGTCGGGCATGCTGCTCTGCGCATCTGCGATCTTGCTATGGGTCGGGGGTGGACAGAACCCCCAACAGTGACACGTCGATTAGTGAATTGTCCGTTTTCGGTTTTCGAGAGGGCGCCGTGGCCGTTATTTTCCAGGCTTGCGCCCGCCAGGTTTGGGCCTCAGGTCGTTTTCACTAAACCACGTTTTACTAAAGGGGGGTCTGTCCATCCCCGATATGGAGGCCGAACGCTAATGCGATGTTCGCAGGTTCGGGCGGCAGTCGCAGGGTGCTGTTGGCCTGGCAAGGTCAGGATTCCCTGGCCGTCTGGCGGTCGCAAGAAGATTGTGGTGTTCACAGGGGCGCGGTGCTGCTCCCAGTTTTTTTGAGGTGCTCAATCTCTTGTGATCGCAGGCGGACTGTGGCGCTGGCATCCTAATATTGTCGCCTCGTGGTCTGCCATACTGCTGCAGATATCAGTGGTACAACTATGGCGATGGCAGGCTATTTGTGGTACGTATTCGCATGTTGTGGCGGTCGCATGATTCTATTGTGCTGGCAGGGTGAGGCATACTCTTGCGCGTACTTTGGCGCCCGCAAGCTATTGTGGCTTTGAAAGGGCTGGACTGCCGTCGGCGATTCTTGTTCCAAGGCGTCTAGTGTCTTCAGGCACGTGGTGGTCCTCGATTGAGACGCTCGCAGGCATACTGTGATGCGCGCAGGCTTGCGATCGAATCTGTCTACAAGGCTAGGGTGCACGCGAGCCCTGCGTTGCGCCGGGGGGCGCACTGCCGGGGGAGGGAGCGGGGGCGTTTCATTAGTCATGGTCCCCAGTCCCCCTCGTTCCCCCCTCGCCATAGCACTTGTCATCGCTACACAGAAATACTGAGTATTAAGAAGGGCGCAGGATATTTGCGACACTGGCTTATGGAAACGGGCCACTTGACTGTCGTCTGCGCTACAGCTTGCGTGTGCCTTTTATTTGGATGGATGCGTTCGACTACATCACATCGTGGTGTTGGCACGTCCAGTTTGCCTCCACCCCTTGCCGTCACTCCCCTCCTCATGGTTAATGGCTCATTTACCAGAACTGATCTCATCTAAGGCCACCGGTTGACTCCTGGAAATGGTTCGAGGACGAGGTCGACGCAGGCCAGGCACGCAATTTATTCGTGCATGTGCGCAGTGTTCATGCCTGAGTGTTGCAGGTGGCTGGCTTTCAGTGGTCCCAGCTTTTCACGATCACGAGCTCCTTTTGTAGCCATTCTTTGGCTTGGGACACTCAGGGATGATGCATTCAGGATGAGAAGTGAACGACGTGTAAGCGTGACTGGTTGTCCCAGGTGGACCCAGGCGCTTGGCTGCCATCTGCGTAGCACCCCGAATATGCGGATAAGAGTGAGGGGGCGGTGGGGACGTCGGCAGTCTGCGAGACTCTGGAGAATCCCGCCGCAACGAGCCCGCCGCAGGCGCCGATTTTTTCTTCGAACCAATGTGGATCGGTCGCGGGTGGGTCGCGGGTGGGTCGCGGGTGAGTCGCGGGATGGGTCGCAGGTTGGTCGCAAGTGGGTCGCGGGTGTGTCGCGGGTGTGTCGCGGATGGGTCGCGGGGTGTGTCGCGGGTGGGTCGCGGGGTGGGATGCGTGTGGGTCGCAGGTGGGTCGCGGGTGGGTCGGGGGGTGGGTCGCGGGTGGATCGCGGGTTGGGTCGCGGGTGGGTCGCGGGGTGGGTCGCGGGATGGGTCGCGGGATGGGTCGCGGGGTGGGTCGCGGGGTGGGTCGCGGGGGGGACGACGACAACAAACAACAACAACAACAACAACAACAACAACAACAACAACAACAACAACAACAACAACAACAACAACAACAACAACAACAACAACAACAACAACAACAATTACTAGCACGTGGGGACACTCCGTTCTCACCAGTGCCAGGGTTTTCATAGGAGGCGGGCAATACCCCCACTTTGTGGGGGGGCCGGTTCAAGCTCTACCAAATTTCCAAACGACTCTTCGCCACCACCCACACCCAGCTTCCCGCCCTATGACGTTCGGACACTTCACTTCGTGGCATGCGGACGACCGTGGCTACTATTCAGGGCCCCGCGGCCGACGACGACGGCGTGCGCGCGCGAAGAAAAAACGAATGTGTCCCGCATGGTATTATTTGACAGGGATGATGGCCCTGGCAGGTGCGCAACCGTTGTCGCAGAAGTTCGAAAAAGTTGCTCGCAAAAGCCCGTTTGACAGAAATGTTTAAAAAGTGTTGGGTTTCCTACGAATCCGCAAGAGCGCGCGGGATGAGATTTTGACATTTTTTTGTTGAAAAACCATTGGTTTTTTGATGTTTTTATGTTAAAATCGCTCCGAACACTAAGCTTTTGGAAGGATTTCGTCTTGCGCGCGCGAATGTCCACTTTACCTTATTTTTTGCAAGGGATTCTTGAAATTTGATTATATTAGAACAAGAAATGTCATTTTATAGTGTTTTTTGCAAGGGAAAGCGGGGGGGAACAAAACAACCGGATCTTGATCACATCGAATTACCTGAGGCTTCCTCACGAAAATGATGAAAATGTAGCTGCGGCCTAGGCGGCGCAGGGGGGCCGTGCACCAGGGGCCCCAACAATAATTATTCTTTAGAATTAATAATGTTCAACAACAACAACAACAAACAACAACAACAACAACAACAATCATTTTACCCTCATGCGCCATGCTTCCACATGACACATGCATCCATCTGGATAACACACCCCATCATGGGGGATTTTTCTGGCATGCGGGATCCGATATTCCCTCACCCAGATATCCCGCCCAAGAAGGTTTGGCCACCACCTCTTCCGAGGAACTTCAACATCCATAGCTCGGACGGCACATCGCCTTCGCAATCGCCTTGCGCATGCCCCGCATCTCAGAGGGAGAGGAAGAGGAAGAGGAGGGGGAGATGAGAGAGATAGGGAGGGGGAGGAGGAGAAGGGAGGGGGAGGAGGGGGAGGAAGGATGAGTAGTTGTAGTAGCAGCAGTTGATGATATTGTTGTTGCGGCTGTAGCACTAGTAGTAGTGGTAACGGTAGTAGTAGTCCAAGTAAGTAGAACTGGCTTGTGGCAGCCAAGCGTTCATAGCGACGTTGCTTTTTGATCCTCCTTTAATGTCTTCTCTCCCTATCCTTGAGACGCAGAAGTCTCAAAAAGTTGGATGGTTCAGCACATCCAGGAAACCTATCGCTGGACCGGCCCAGATATGGTTCCAGAAGCGGCTCGGGAAGCTGCGCAGGCGCCAGAAGCAGAGAAGCACCACGTACGGGCGCCGGCTCGGGCGTCCGGCCCAAAGCCGCTCCAGAATCGGCCCAGGACGGCTTCCCGGGCGCCGCAAGCAGAAATTCAGCATTTTCGAAAGAAAAATGTATATTGGAATGGCCTCTTTTCGGCGCGATCGGAACTGCCCGGGCGTCCGGCCCGGGAGCCGGGCCGGGTGCCGGCCGGGCCGGGTGCCGGCCCGAGCTCCGGAATCGGCCCGGACGGCCTCCCGGGCGCCGGAAGCAGAAATTCAGCATTTTCGGAAGAAAAATGTGTATTGGAATGACCTTTTTTCGGCGCCGCCTCGGAACTCAATTTTCCGGCGCCTGGGCGCCGGCTCGGGCGCCGACCCGGGCGTCCGGCCCGGGAGCCGGGCCGGGTGCCGGCCCGAGCTCCGGAATCGGCCCGGACGGCTTCCCGGGCGCCGGAAGCAGAAATTCAGCATTTTCGAAAGAAAAATGTGTATTGGAATGGCGTTTTTTCGGCGCCGCCTCGGAACTCGATTTTCCGGCGCCCGGGCGCCGGCTCGGGCGCCGACCCAGGCGTCCGGCCCGGGAGCCGGGCCGGGTGCCGGCCCGAGCTCCGGAATCGGCCCGGACGGCTTCCCGGGCGCCGGAAGCAGAAATTCAGCATTTCGAAAGAAAAATGTGTATTGGAATGGCCTTTTTTCGGCGCCGCCTCGGAACTCGATTTTCCGGCGCCCGGGCGCCGGCTCGGGCGCCGACCCGGGCGTCCGGCCCGGGAGCCGGGCCGGGTGCCGGCCCGAGCTCCGGAATCGGCCCGGACGGCTTCCCGGGCGCCGCACTGCAGAAATTCAGCATTTTCGAAAGAAGAATGTGTATTGGAATGGCCTTTTTTCGGCGCCGCCTCGGAACTCGATTTTCCGGCGCTCGGGCGCCGGCTCGCCTGAAGGCCCTCGGCCTTACTAATTGTTAGCAGCGCATGTAAGTAGGTTATAAGTAAGTTGCAACTAGGTTGCAAGTAAGTTATAACCATTAGTAATGTTACTAAGTCGGCTAACTCGGGCGGTGCATTTGGAGGTAGATAGCTTGAGTTAGCGAAGTTGCTAACTTCGCTAACTTTTACAGGCTTACGTGAAAACAGAGCTGCTGCATCGGGTTTTCCTTGGATGTTGCCTCCAGAAACGCATGCATGTGTTTGGATTTTCGGGATCACGCATATCGGAAATCATGATCCAGACTTGCGTGCGAACGCATTCAGAATATTGTATCGAGCGTTACAAGAATGTTGTGCATTGCAAATGCAACATATCATTTCGAATTCGCAACCCTCTGTTGCACATGTTTTTGAATGTCACTAGAGTTTGGGCTCCAGCCCTTTGGGCGAGGATTGCTGCTGGCGCTTGTGGCGTCCTCCTGCACGCGGCGTGATGAACGCCTCCCGTGAACAGCAGATCGCGGAGGTCCGCCCCAAGATGATGGCCATCAAGGACATGTACTTGCATCCTGATGCAGCGGTGGTCTCATTACTTGAAGACGTATGCAGCATTGCAAGAGGCATAGACTGCCTGAGGGTAGAAAAAATACACTCGAAGTATATGATGGTGTGCACAGAGAATCGTTACGGAGATGGAATCATTCCGAGCGAGGTTATGGATTTGATTTCCAAGATCTTCAAAAATGGATTCAAGAACTCAGCCCTCCAGAATCCAGCTTGCATGGAACTTCCACCAGTGGGCACGCCTGAGTACAATGCAATCAAGAACTTCAATTTCAAAATAATGGAGGACTCAGCGGGCCAGCTGCCGCAGTATGATTGCGATGCAAAGTTCGCATCCTATACGTGCGGCCACACATCCATGGGTTTGCGTTGCATCAACGCAGGGGTTCCAGTACCCGCGGTCATGCCAGAGCGTTTCGACAGAATCTCGCACCAAGGGAAATTGTCACTGACGAGGTTACGGGAGGTTCAACCAGACTACGCTAAGGCGTGTGACGAAGGAATTGAGTGGAAGGTCTTTCGGTACGAGTTCGTGAAGGAGTTCCCGTGGATTAGTAATCTTGCTCAGGAGGCTGGCAATGCAGGCCAACAAATTGCCAGATGCGAATCTCGCATGAGTCTCATGTACAAGATCGCAGCAATTGCCAACCGACACCACACGGGTGGCACCATGATCGATTGGGATAGTGTGATCCGCGAGGCGACTCGCGCAGGCTCTCTCTTTCCTGGGGAGATCGATGGCTTAGTAAAATATGTGAAGGAGTTGTCTGGCGGCCTCGGCAACCCGATCTTTCTGAACGAGCTTCGCGACTTCTCGCGGCAGCTGACCTCCCAGTGCGTGGTCACGGGTTCAATGGCGAAGTCTCTCGCCGAGGTGCAGATCAAGCATGAGGGGGCCGCTGCGACATTCAAGCTCGCATGCATGAAGGCGATGACATGTGCGACGGGTAAGTTCGCGAGGGATGGCCATCAGATGCTTTTGAAGCCAGGCGACGTGACCGCCTTGTCGAGCGATAAGAAGTCTACGATTGTAATGGTGGCCGATGAATTTCTTCAGAAAGTGCGACAGATCGCATGCGGTGAGGGCATCACGGCAGACACGGTCGCCTACGGCACCATCGTGGGATTGACTGACGTTCGCGTAGTTCATTTCGTGTTCAACAAGCCCGATGAGCGCTTAGGCACTTGCAAGACGCTGAATGACATCGGGGTCAGCTTCACCGCTGCGTTGGCAACGCGCGTTGGCAAAGCAGTTGCTAGCCCATGGAAGCAGATCGGTCGCGAGGGCGCATCCAAAGCCGTGACAGGGCAGGCGCGTAGCTCAGATGTGAAAGAGTACACCGCTTCGGGCAAGTGGTCGAACCAAGTGGACAAGCTCAGTGACAAGG